TATGCACTACTTTTAAGCAAATCAACACAATTGTGGGGAGGCCTACTCCATATCGACAATGCTTACAAGAAACTCTACCTGCCAAGGGTGAAGACTTGACCTTTGACACACTACTTACCTTCCTTCCAATAAATGTGGTATACTTTTCGACTGAATCTCTGTCATGTGAGTAAATCCCATATCGACAATACCTTTCAGTGTTAACTCGGAAACACGGTCTGCCAACGATGAAAACTTACTGTCTGTCAAGATATTCGTTAACCCTGTAATGAAATTTAAAACCAAATCAAATTTTGTTTCATTTTACAAGACTAGAAATAAAGCAAATTAATTAATTAATTCATGATTATTATTAAGGGACAAAAACTATAATTTGATAACTTTTTTCATGTTTTTCAATCTGTGTACAACTAGGTAAATATAATTTTTTGGCACCAACTTTCAAATGTAGTAAACGTCAGGCAATATGTCCTGTCACATGACGTATAATTGGTATTATGAATGAAAAAGTCACACATCCCGAGATTTTCCCCCCCAAATCCAAGTTGCCACTGAAGTTCAAAATCAGTCAAAAATGACAGTACCCTTAGAGGTCATGCAAAGTACCAGGATGTGTGACATTCAAGGGTCATGCAAAGTACCAGGATGTGTGACATTCAAGGGTCATGCAAAGTACCAGGATGTGTGAACTTTAGCAGTCATGCAAAACATTTCATTTCATGTATATTCATTTGGTACGATACAGGTCAGTTAATCTCAGTGATCCATCATCTATCAGACAATTTGAAAATGTTTAGAAAAATGCATTATCCAGTTAAATAAAACACTGTGATCATCGAATGTTTCTTTAATTGTGCATAGTTGATGAGATGAAGAAACTCACACTCTTGGACTTTGGGACCATCACTGTCTCCAAGTTTACTACTTCCATCACCCTTTGAGAATTCTCTTTTTTTCTCCTTTGAGTCATCTTCCCCACCATTTTTTTCTTGCTCATCGTTGTCATCATCATCATCTCCATCATTGGAGGATTCTCCATCAGCAGGTTCTCTCTCCTCTTGCAACAAGTCACTCTGACCCACATCTTGCTCTTCCTCATCACTGTCGTTGAGTGTAGAATCCACAGCTTCAGAACTGTGTACATTATCGTCTTTAGACAGCTTTTGTACTTTAATTGAGACTGTGTGAGAGAGTTCATGAAGTACATATATGTCAAGTACAGAAATGCCTCAAACAAAAGTCAAATATGTACTATTGTGTTAAATTAGAGAAACTAAGTTTGGTCTAACACGGCTTTGAGCTTGACTATTTTCAAACAAACAAGAATTGAAATTAAAAACAACTCAATGTTAAGTATAAATGCAATAATATTTTTCATTAAAGTGCTGCTGCAACATTTTCCAAATAGTAATGTATTTTTATATAATTTCTTTGTTAATTGTTGACCAAATGAACACATCTTCTCATTTGGTACAGGTCTTGTGAAAAACATGGACAAAAATTTGAAGCATTACTTTGTGATAGATGACAATAGACCATTTTCTGTCACTGCGAGATCTCGTGCTATGCGTGAAATCAGACTTAAAACAGGACAAACAAAGGTCATAGAGTCATAGTGACGACAAACATCAAAGTAATGGTATTCAAACGTAATATTCCCCTGTCAAAGATCGGCCTTTCGATGTGAGCTATGAAATAAAGGAATTCATGTTCAAAATCTAATCGTTTGATTTTTGCGGCAGGCATTTGTCGCTCATCTTTCATACAACTCGTGAGATCTCGCAGTTGAATGGAAAAACAGCTATTGTTATTAAAATTTATTCATTAATCACCTTCATTCTCTTCATCATCATCTTTTTTTCTTCTTTTTTCCTTTTTTCTCAACATCTTTTGTTTTTGTTTGAGCAACTGCAGCTGCATCAGTTTCTTTCTCTTTCTCAGTTTCTTCAATCTGGCCAACTTTTCAGGGTCACTACGTTCCAGTGTAGATGCTGTGAGGGATTGAAACAAAATGTTGATATAATCAGAACAATTCCTCTTGCCTAAATTGTGGTGCAACAATTTGCAATTTTTCAATAATTTATTGGAACATTTAGGACCAAACAGACATAATTTCTCAATGGCTATGGGTTGTGATCAAATGTTAAAAAAAGTATGGAAAAAAATTATTCAGGTTCAATTATTAATGAAAGCTGAAAAGATTTGACTGCAGCATTCAAAGAGTTAACACATCATCTAGTCATGGCATTTTGCCCCATTCATATTGGCTATACGTGGAGGCTTCCAACAGGCAATGTTAATTACCTACAACCATAACTAGGTACATTGTATAGTGATGTAAATACTTGTCACAAATGGCTATTTTTGTCCCAATCTTTTGAAGGAAAGTGCAGACTATAAACAGGATTATTTTGTGAATTTGTGATGAAAAGAGGAAACTGGTGGTGAAACGGTTAAACCTCCTAACCAATCTGGATCCACACAAAACATCTATTTTGAGCACCATTAAAGTGAAGTAAATGAGTTGTAATAACATTTGCTATGGTTTGATTGGTTTACAATACTTGTTCTATTAGAAGAGAAAAAAGTTATGTTAAAGTTAGCATTTTTCTCTCACTATGGACATTACAATATTGTGCAAACCAATGTTATTGAAAGTGTCAGGTCAGAAAAAATAGGTTGCAAGAGCAGAGACATCATAGGAAGACTGGTGATGTTTATATAGGTGTTAGTGCCCATGCTCGGCTAAACGCCCATCCCCCACTTTTGGGAAATTTCTATTTTTGGGTTCACGTTCGGGTTAGCGCCCACCCCTGATTTGACTGTATAATTATAAATCTTGATCTTTGATCATTGTTTAATTTTTCAAAATTGTCACATGGTGAACTAAAATTGACATTTGCTTGGGTAAGCGCACATCCCTAAAAAATCATGTTTTTCTGAGTTGAGGACACTTGGAGCTAACGTAGACGAGTATGGTAATTTATGCTTATTTTTAAGTTCTCACTGGTGATGTGCCTAACACTTTTTTTACACTTCCCTATGCCTGCTCATTTCATTTGTATGTATTTGACCAATTCCAGTAAGTCTCAATACTCTGGGGGAAATCTATAAATCATTGTTTCCATGGAAACAACTTCAGGTTCCTCCCTTTTTTATTTACTTACTCTTTGTCTTTTATTTTATGAAACCTTTATTACATTCAAAATGAAATGATTGAGAAAATGAAGTCAAGACATCAACTTTTAATATATGATTTCTTTCCCTTGCTGAAACAGCATCATTATTATACTTTTTATTTTGTTCTAGAAGTAATGTTTCACATATTTGCAAAGTGGGAATACAACCTTAACACTTATATGTAAATAGAGTATCGCAGTTGTGATCAAAATTTGATAGGTACAAAAACAACTCTTGATCAATTAACTAAGACTATAAGTAACAGTATTAACACATCAACTGACGAAAGTCCCCACAAATGGACATGAATTACTGATATCTAGACTATTGTATAAAAAAATCTGCAGCATGAGATGTGTTAATGGAAAGAGACTCCCAGTTAGGTACCTGATGTGTTTGTTGATAGTTCCCTCCTCTTAATATTTTTCTTCATTTCACGTGATAAACTCCCGTTTAAACTCCTGGAGTCTGTCAATGAGAAAAATATTAAAGTCTGTGAAAATTTATGTCCACTATGCATTTACTGGTTCATTCTGTCGAGGTTATATTTAAGCACTTGCAGAACTGGAACATAACCCTGAGCGCGGAACGAGAAATGTCTCATAAAAAAAAGACAGGATACTGAAGGAAAAGAATTCTGAATTTGAGTACTTAATAAAAGTAGAGAAACAGTGTCTGAATTCTGAATATCGATCGTAAGAGCAATGTTCGCAGAAACAACTTGTACATGAAAAGATCAAAATTGGGAGAAGAACGGTAGAGATCGACATAAAGTAACCTTTAAAAACACAAATAAGCATGTACCGGTATTGCAAATGTTGGTTGAGTATTGGGAAGCAGATGATATCTGACATTTTACTCAAGTCACGGTGTCCAAAACTGAGGGGTTGTCACCTGCTCATGAATGGGGATGGTGTCCTGATTGACAATTACGACACACAGTAAAAACACAAAGGCTCATGGGTAGATGTGTATTTCTAAATAATGACTCGCTATGATCGTCGCTGTATCGTGCTAGGAGTACCCGAGATGAAATTTTCACTGCTACAACTGTTTCCTTGATTTGCAAAAATTTAACTCTGACAAAATAAAAATGGGTTACAGCAGTTACCTTTTGTGGAGGCAGAAACCAGAGGATGTAGAGAGAGCATTAAAACGTTAAGGACAAATCAAATAACACAGGATCTATCCACAATTAGATACAGCAACACTTTATGCGATGTAATTAACAATACTGTATTTGTTCTAGTAATAGCACACATGCTCAAACGTAAATGACAAATGTTCAAATTAAGCCGTACTGCAATGGTCAACAAAAGTTTACTGCCGAGTTTTCTTTTTGGACACGATTTTCCCTGATTTATGTAATTGGCAAATATTTTCTCTAGCCAATTTCAAGCTGATTATAATACACCTGAAGCTCGATTAAAATGTCTCAGGATTTAGCAATTTAAAATCTGAGGGTGGAACTGGAGAAACTTTTCAGCTATTTTTGTTTACACATACATGTACCAGACAACATTTTTTTTTCACATTTTACCCAGTTATCTTGCAAATTTATTATCTTTTTTTCGTCCTGTATGACACACTTTAATATTTTATAATTACTACTACAGTCCACCTTTGGGATTTTAAATTGTGATCGAATCAACAGTGGTGTAGCTTCTCTGCTGGAAAAATCAGATCACGCAGAATGTACTTGACTACAACAATCAAGACAAAAGTCACTTTAATGAGTAGTAACAACGTGACGTTGATATTCACCTTTTACTATGACAACCAATTAGTGTGATCACTTGTCTGAGACTGACTCTAATTTTTATACTGTTTGTCAGTTGTTGTTTGTTTGTTTTTTTTTTTGGGGGGGGGGGGTGATCATTGGAAACTCGGGGGTGCAAACTGTGCAAAACATTTTCCAGCATTTTTGAGCATAATTCTTACAAACAAATGTGAGTTTTACTCTGTACATAATTTGATTCCAAAATATACAAGTTTTTAATGTCCTGTTTTACAATGTACAGTCTGTGTACACTGCATCAAGGCTAAACAGAATCCCATTTACATGTAGACTACCATGTCGCCAAAACACATACCCGTAAAGTGATTACTGTGTGTGATCTAACTACTCAAGTGTCGTAGCTCAATCACAAACTTGCGACGGGTAAGAATTACCAACAAGTACCGGAAGAAAAGTCAGCCGGACAACTCTCAGCTGAGCTAGCACATGGCCAAACAACACGTCACGTGGAGATTTTAGTCGAAATCCGACGCGGCTTTAAGACTGAATGCCATCGATTTGGACTGAATATAGACCTACACAAAAGTCGTGTATACTAACCGTTATTAGTTTTGACTTTCTTCTCCTTCCGTACTCGCTTCTCTTCCGAGGACTTCGTCATATCGACAGTATCGATCACTTGCACAATGTTAGCCGCCATCTTGAAATTAAACGCAGTATTCCACTTTTCGTCGTTGCTGGCGCCATTAATAAAATCGTCATTTCACGACTTCCGCCTCGTGGTAGAGCCTGCGAATACATTTATGCCCTCATTATTGTCCACAATATAAATGTTGGTCGATATTGCTGTTTTTATCTTCTGGTTAAAATCTGATTTATTGTATGGCATCTTTCTATTTCACATATTTTATTTACTTTTTAATACATTTTTGTATTAATGTTTTGTTTCTATTGCTGTGTGAGCTCTCGCGATGACCAAAAAATAATAAATAAATAACTTATACATTAAAATAAAATTTATGAATAATTCATAATTAAACACATATTAAAAAAAAGATTTTATTATAATAGGATTGTTTTAAAACACTGTTTATATGCTAGTGTTAGAGAGAGTAAAGGTATTGTGTTATTCCTGATATAAAAAATGTCGGCAAACTTGGTTTCAATGATAAAACGAAAAAATAAATAAAATAAAAAAATATTATGATAACGACAGTGCACAATGTAGAGCCATGGTAGAGCTAAATAATAAAAGGATGTGCATGATACGTGATTAGGGCTGCAAGATCAAACTAGCAATCCCTCGTTGAGGGCGCTGCCACCTTAAAAACAAGAGCAATCATAATGAGTGAGTGGTATGAATGCCAGGTCATATCAGGTATTCCTCAAAAGAGTGTGATCAATGCCCGGGGGAGGGGGTTTACTTCATATCAGACCTGGTACCCATGCTGAAGTATAGCTTTTCAAAAAAGCCTCTAAACACGTACTTATTTTTGTGAATTATACCCTTTTTCAAGTGCAGAAATTAAAAACTGTTTCCAAGTTGAGGTAACATGAATTCATGAGATTCTCTTTTTCACGTTTTATTTATATATTTTAAAATATTCAACCCTAAACACGGTACACGCGTATACGCGTCAAATAACTAAATATCACCCCTTTTACGCGATTTTTTACTTCAGCTTGCGTATCATATTTTCGGGATCAAGTAATAACAGTTATTTCCGTCCACATCACCCAAACCATCTACATAACAATGCTGATACCCATGTTGCGTTGTTTATTTTTTTTCCAAACCCTCCCACTCCTCAGAATGGTGTACTCTTTATTGAGCATTCTTCTGTAGAGGCATTTCCGGTGGCCGAGGAAAAGATGCGTCATGAGGCTAATCACACAGGTAGTACATGTTTACTTTGACATATTATTTACGGTGATGTGTATTAGGTTTTATTTACTTATTTTATTACGTAATATGATAATACTGTACAATACTTTATATTAGCTGGAATTAATTTTCACTGAAACAACATTTTGGCCGTTTGATAATACATTTATTTTCACTGAATTTTAATCAGTTTAATGTAGAACATAGGAAAAAAGTATTTTCGCAGGATTTTATTTTCACTGATTCATTCTTTCAGCGAAAATAGCGAAAATAAATTCCAAGTGAAAATAAAGTGCTTTATAGTTTGCACATCGAACTATGTGTTTACAAACATTTCATAGACTTGAAGGATGTTTAGCATTTTGTTACAAATATGACATGACACACAAATCAAAGAGAATCGTGATTTTATGGAACTTCGCTTACGAATCATATGCTAATTAGACGTAACGTTCGTGCACGTCAGTGGAAGTTAATTTGCAGTCAGAGACGCCAAAGGTTTTCGAAAACGGCATTTATTTTACCCTTCTTACTACAATGTGAGTAAGTGTCGTTACCCAGTCAGAAATTATCATAT